AGGAGAAAGAGAGGAAGGCCAAAGAGGAGATATATGGATGCAGTGAGGGAGGACATGCAGGTAGTTGGAGTCAGAGTAGAAGATACAGAGAACAGGGAGAGATGGAAATCAATGATCTGCTGTGGTAACCCCTGAAAAAGGGACAAAGCCGAAAGAAAAAGAAGAAGAAGGAGAGAAAAGTAAAACGAATGAAAGAAACATAGAAGGATGGTATACACATATATGTTGCAGTTATTGCAGAACCATATATAGAAAATGGGCAGGGAGTCTTACAGTGGTAAACCAGGCTAGAGTGTAGGTGCTGTGTAACAATCAGAAAACAGGGCTGGGTTAGGATTAGGGTTACTCATTTCAGGTCATTTCACTAGAATCTGATGACAACTGATTTTGTATAATATGAGAGGATTTAGAAAATAAAAAAAGATGATTGGTTTAACACATCATGCACACTTATACACTTTCGATAGTCTTCTCATTGTGTTAACATGCATTTTCCTCTAAATGGGATCTCAATCACAATGACAGTATGTTTATCAGGTCACTAAAACAAAACAAATAATATATTAGGGAATCTTCCTAAAGATGGTTCAGTAACTGAAAACAGTTTAAGCGCTAATTTACAATTAGCACCTTAATTATAAACCAGTTGCTAATTACTAATCATTTACTAAAACAATTAGCTGGTTTAGTTGTTTTTGAGTCCAAACTTAATGAGCTATTTTTTTTTTTTGTAATTTAGATATTTACTTTACATATTTAGTGTAAATTACTGTCTGTATAAGCACACTCTACTACTATTTACTGTAGGTCACACAAGGTGTAACTTAAGAAATTAGGTCAGCGGCAGTCCAAATCCAGTACTGTCTTTTAGGCTTACTGACGGCAGTCTGTTGGCTGGATGTATTGTCCTGTTGTCAGATTCAGTACAGTCCACTAAGTCCACATGGTCACTCAGGGCAGACAATCACAGGAATGAGCCTATCATAACAAAGGAACTCATTCAGTGGACGCCCTCGCTCTCCACCAATTAGAGCTCTCTATTTTATAACAACCAAATCGTGTGTATCAAGTGTGTTTTTTTTCATACACTGTTAAGTGTTTATCCATGTTGGTAAATATCACTGGGTACCCAAAATTAGTAAAGGATAAATTCCGATTAAATACATATACGTATATATCTCTTATCAAATACAAAACACGTTGTGCTCCCTGCTACTGCTGCAAAATCATAGTGAGTGCGATTTGAAATGTTTGTCTTCTTTGCTAACTGTTTTAAATCTCTGTGTTGGTAATCGAGAGCCGCCTCGTTACTGCATCGACTGCTTTTATGTGGGAAAAAAGAAGCTATAACTCCTGGACATTGTAAACGAAAAGGGGACAGGGATATAAAAACACAAGGCCGGCTAAGCTCACAGGCCTGTGGACAGGCCAATTCCATTTTTTTCCCCTTACATCACAAATAATGTCAACACTGCATCAGCTCCACTGACAGGAAGGAAAAGAAAAAGGCAGAGGCTACAGATTCCTGCTCTCCTTTCTGCGTCTGACACTGTGTTGTAGAGGGCCTGATTGTCATTGTGTCTTACATAACAATAACCTAAAATTTTAATATACATCAGTATTTTAGCTTCAGTGGAGGCTATGTACCATTAAAGCATGCTGAGTCATATATTTTCATTTGAAATCACAGTTTACACATAACAGTAATGTCTTGTATGTCAGAGCAGGGTGCAGTTCTGCAGACACAGAGTTGTGCTGCTTTAGCTTAGATCCAGCACTTGGTTGGGTTTAAACCAGTACTTCTCACATAGAATAGAAATAGAAGAGAAATAAAGTGGGGCGGGCCCCCCTTAGGGGGGAAAGAGGGGTGTTGAGGTGCCAGGGGACGTGAGGGGCTTCCAATGCAATATGGCACTCTGGACCACTGTGTACCACTGCTGTAATGCTTGAATGATAACAAATCTCCAGTCACTAGGTGGCAGCTACTCATACAGTGGTTTGTACAGATACAAATATACATGTTATAAGGTTCTCAATAGCATTTCAATTCACGGGGTGTGAAAACATTTCTGTCCCCAAGACATGATATGACAGAAAATAATTGAGAACCCCTGGTTTAAACAAATGGGTGGCCTCCCGGGGATGTCCCCATTAATTTAAACTTTGGTTGTCAAAATGAGTGCATTAAGAGTAGTAACTAATGTATGAAATGTATAAGATAAAACTTTTAACACAAAATGTCACACACACTGTATATCCAATAATTCCATCTATTCTGTCTACTCACTCAGATACAAAGACAATAAATAAAAACACTGTGATGGAATGTTTTTTTTTTTCACCAAAGCACCACCAGCTTTAAATATTATTTCAATACCCAGGATGTGTTTTGTGGATTGAGGAGAACTGTGGACCAATTGATACTAATGAGGACAAGAGCTTCAACGTTTTTACAGTAAAACTCAACATGCTCAAAACCACATAACACTAAGAAAAACTTAGATGTTCTATAGGTTTGCATATTTTTTATACCTTGATTAATCATGATTAATCATAACGATTATGATACACACATACTACACTGTGACTATTTAGATTAAAATTATTTTAACTCTTTGACAGCCCCCAAAAAACAAACCAGGTCCAGTCAGGTGAAGACACGTGTTGTGATGAACCTTCAAACTTCAGCAACAGCAGCTGAATGGGTGTATTTCTCCAGCTCACGTGCCTCGGCTGTCTCTCTCTCTCTCTCTCTCTCGCTCTCTCTCGCTCTCTCTGAGGGTGGCGGTGTGGGAGTGGGCTAAGGGTGGGTATTTGTATCCATTAACAGATAATGTAGGAGCGAGCCTCTCATGGCGTCACGTCTACAGTGGAGCCACACAAAGTATTTTAGCCATTCATTACAGAGCAAGTGTAGAGCCTGTGACTCAATGCAAAATATTTCTCATTTGAAATTTTATTTTTTATTTTCTTAAAACAACACATGCATTAGCAGAGTCAACCTTTACACGTATTTTTGCTTTAGATTTGATTGTTGAGTTACTTATGTTATCTTTTTGTATTTACATTCTGAACAAATTGCTTTCCATTGTTCAGAAAATTGAAAATATAAATAAATATAAAAATATTTTTCTTTATTAAAAGGATTTAATTAGTTAATAGGATTTATTAATTGTAATTTGAATATAGGATTGTTTTTGTTATCATTCGTAAGATCACAACCATAACTGTCGATAATTTCCCCATGGGTCATGTAGATCAATGGTTCTCAAACTTTTTATACTCTGTACCACCTGAGAAAACCTTGAGTTCCACCATGATGACCAACATTAGAATATAGCTGCATAGGCCTTCCCTATTAGCTTCCACCACAGAGGAGAGATGTTTAGAAATGTTTACAAAGTTTTTTATGTTTAAATGTTGTATTAATTGTGCATGGTATGTTTCAGATTTATTCAGTTGAAAATGTAAATGTGAAAATATGAATTTTCCCCGCGTACCACTAGAGAGCGCTCGCGTGCCACTGGTGGTACGCTTACCACAGTTTGAGAACCAATGATGTAGATTAAGGTAATTGATAAATCATTCATTTATCACTCATTTGAATTGCTTGACCTTCCTATTTTTTAACTGAAAAATATAAATATAATAAAAGTAAATAAGAACTATTTCTTCAGTAAAACGCTTTTGAATAATAATTTTATCTTCATTAGGTAATTAATGTTGTAAAAAAAAAACCCCAACCTAAACACATACGCATTAGAAAGCTCCCTTCGGGTCACTTGACTAGAAGGAAAGATGACACTAATTCCTGATGGATTACCACGTTATTACAGGGCTGTTGTCTGTACCATGCGATGCAGTCATACATTTTTATTTGCCACTTGATTAAAGTAGCAAAATGACCAGGATCCGACTGGGTTTTATTTTTGAAGTGTGTCACTGCTTCAGGCTGCCTCCCTCTCCTCCTACCTCGCTCTCTCTGAGCTCATCATGGAGCAGAGTGGAGCGAATTGCTGGCGGATGAGGGCGCTTCGCCGCCATGTGAAACTTTGTTGGCTCAGCCTGAGAGAGGTGGCGAGTGTGTGTGCGTGTGTGTTTTTGAGTGCGTTTGTGTGTGTGTGCAGCCCTGAAAATGGGCTGTTCAGGATGAAGTGAAGAGCACAGAAGACAAGAAATCGTCCATTGGAAACAGGCTCTCAGTCCAGTCCGTGGAGTGGGTGATGTGAACAGATCCAGATCCCGATCAGATCGTCTTTGAGCTGCAGGATCTTCCGTGCCTGTTGGTGCTAAGGTTTGATGACCAACTTCTGAAAAGTCGATCAGTGAAGTCTACTCCTTACCAGCGTGACCAAAGAGTAAGTGGCTTTCTGTTTTGAGCCTGTGTTTATACATGTACAAAAAATGTAAGTTTTAGGCAGCTAACGCGAAGCTCAGAAACTTTGCTTCGCATGTAACGCCTTTAGTTTCAGTTCTTCAGCTTTAACTTGACTTTTAAAAAATAAAAGTCCACGTTAGAGTCTGGTGGAAGCCTGACCGTTGAGATTTGTGCTGCAGCCTCGCGTTCGGAAAAATCTCTGGAGATGGAATAAAGTGTCAGCCTTGGAAAGTTGACTGTTTCCTCAATTACATCACTTCACTTAAATAATCACTTTTTTGTGATTATTTTATTTCATGTAAACAATGTAATGACAGGCTAGGGTTTTAATAACACGCCAACGTGCAGTTAGATGTACTTTCTCTCACATCAGAATATGCTACGTTTTGGCACTTTATAAAGTGTGATAGTTTTCTAGCCGACGTATAACCACGTATGTTTCTGTATGATTCTGTATATTAATGTAGAATGTGTAAAAATACTCGAAAAATGTTTCTATATTAATTATTTCATATAAAATATCTTAATATGGCATTATATAAGTATATAAGAGAATAAGACAGTACTTTTCATATTTTATTGGATATTATATAATGCAATGTAACATAACAAACAACGTAACTATATATGTATATAGTTACTTTATATATATATACACACATTTATATGAATATATGTATATATATAGTATTATAGTGCAAGTTTTATTGTGTTGCAAGATTAATAAAGATCGGATATGAGAATAATAATTCCTTAATGATCAGTGGTTCCCAAAGTGTGGATCGGACCCCCATGGGCACAGAGCTGTTGTCAGGGAAGGGGGAAGAATCAGGGCAAATTAATTTAAATATCATTATTTTCTTTATTTGTGGAATGTGGAAATTAAACTACTTTGTTATTGTATTTCCTATAAGTTTCCTTTAACACTTTTGTAGTAATTTCAGTGCATTGAACAAAGTTCAGCTGAGTTAGCTGTAAAAGCTGACGCTGCTGCAAGGTAGGTTGTTTTAGAGGTTGCTAAGGTTTTTAAATTTTTTTAACGTTAAAAGGATTTTACTTCTAAAATTAAATAAACAAAAAAGAATGCAGTTTGGGTGTCCCTGCTCAGACTGTTGTCCCCGCAACCTGGCCCTGCACGATGATGGATAAATGGATGAATGCAGCACATCAGCAAACAAAAGGTCAGAATTAGCATTCATTCAGCAGCTGAGCTACTTTTCATATCTTAATTATTGATATTGACTAAGTCATTGTCATGTCTTAGGTCAGTGTGGATATTTTTTCTTTTTTTCCTGCCTCAGTATTGAAACATTATTTTGGGGTCACCATGTCATATTTGCTCTGTGTTTGTTTGGTCTGTGTTGGTGACCCAACAGCCACTGTACTGTCAACAGGAGAATTTTTTTTCCTGTTCTGCTCTTTCAATTAGAAAGCACACAACATACGTGTTGAGTACAACATATCCAACAGGTAACATGAGTGAAGTGGGTTATATTAGTGGATAGGCAAGAAACTTTCAAGAGCTGTGGCACACATCAGTCTCTGTCTCGGTGTTTGGTAATCTCCCATGTACAACAACAACAACAACATGCACAGCTGTTATGTTCTACACCCTTTGATAGCTCACCAGCTCTCTGGAAACCATTAGTCACCACCATGTGTGTCTGATATGTTGGATTCATATTATAAAAGGGGGACATTTTTTAATGGAAAAAAAAAGATAAAAACTAGATCTTTCAGTCGGCAGAAAATGTGTCTAAGATCATAAAAAACTTTGTCTGATCCATTAGAATGGACTGCATTTTTAGGTAAATCTGTATTAAAACAGTTCTAAATGCAGTGTCTCTGCAAGATCTGATGATGTTATATTATATTATGTTCATATGTCCATACGTGCTCTCCTGCATGCACAAACACCAGCTCTTT